GAGAGTGGAATGAGTTTATCCCAGGGATTGCAGGCACAGGCTCGAGAGAAGCTCCACTGCACTTCTTTGGAGACGCCAGCGGAGGTAAGGAGTCATCGAATTCGCACCTTCGCAGAGTTGGAGTTGGCCTTGTTCTGGCCGCTGATCCCCAGCTGTCCCCAGATTTCGACTCTCGAGCGACACTCGAAGGACCCCTTCCAGGACACCGTCAAGTGGTGGGAAGAGGTGAACTCATGGCACTGTTGTTATCCTTGCAACTTAGCCGTGGGTTCGTTGTCTTCGTCTCGGGCAACTTCGGAGTCGTGAATGGTTGGTATCAGGATCAGTTCGTTAACCCGTCGGGGCCCGAGGCGGACATCTGGACCCAGATCGGTACGAAAGTTCAAAAGCGTGACAGGTCCCAGATTGTTGTGCTGTTTGTAAGTTCGCATCTTGACGCAGATTGTGGTCGCTTCCCGCCCTGGCTCATTTTAGGTAACCAAGCTGGTGACGCAGCCGCAGATGTCGCCGCAACCCGAGCCCGAGTGGATGAGACTTCCCGCTATCGTGTGAATTCTACTGAGCAGAAAGCGTTCTTAATTCGGCACAGGCTGGGCACATTTAGATGCGATAGATAAGGAGAGAGAACTCGGCCTTTTGGGCCGAAAGTGTGCGCGTAGTTCCTTCCCCAAGCCTCCAGGGCCCCTTCAATGTTCTGTGTTTAACTCTACTCACTCCCTGTCCGCCGATGGGAAGAGTTGCACGGTTTGTCGAGGTTCCGCCACACAGGCAACTCTGACTGAGTGGCGTAATAGCCCGTGTTTTAATTTGAAAGCGCTTGGGGGTACGTTCTTTTCTCTCCCCAGGGGTGCTCGTCTTCACGTAGCTGGGGGGTGGTTGCATGAAAGCCATTGTAGGCAATTCCATTCGGGGCTCAACGTTTGGTTTTGCGTCTCTTGTGGGTGCTTCTGTCAGCTGATGCTCAGTGAGAACCTCAAGAAGGCTTGTGTGCAGCACATCAGTCCCACCCGTCAGGGGTACCTTAATTGAATTGCTCAGCATAAGTGGCCCAAAATTCTAAGCACAGCGGAGAAGGCTAAGAGGGGAAAGGGGTAAGGTGTCGGTCGGTCTCGACGGAGCGACGGCGCGCCCGCGCGCGCGCCCGTTCCACAAGTTCAAGGACCGCCGCACGCCCGCCCCCGCCCTTCTCCTGCTGCTGTCTGCTGTAGCCGCCGCTTCCATCATCTTTCGACTCGCTTAGCGACTGCCTCATCTCATCTCATCTCATCTCATCTCCTCCTCCTCCTTCTCCTCCTCCTCTCCTCCTCCTCCTCCTCCTCCTCCTCCTCCTCCTCCTCCTCCTCCTCATGGCACGCCGTCCTGGCTCGCCCTCCTCTCCACCCCACGTCCCCCTTCCTCCTCCTCCTCCTCCTCCTCCTCCGCTCCTCCTCCTCCTCCTCTCTGTTCCTGTTCCTCCTCCTCCTCCTCCTCCTCCTCCTCCTCTTCCTCAGCATCCGTATGTCATGTATATTTCCCCATGAGGTAAATGTCGGTGACAATAAGCGGCATCAGCAATGATGGCCAACGATGGCTCCACTCTCGAGGAGCGACGGCGTTGCGACGACCCACGAAGGAAGCAAAACACAGGGTCAATCCAGGGCCTTTTTTCCATCTCCTCCTCCTCCTCCTCCTCACCCTCCTCCTCCTCCCCCTCCCCCTCCTCCTCCTCCTCCTCCTCCTCCTCCTCCTCCTCCTCCTCCTCCTCCCTTCCCCTCCTCAAGACTCCATGGGCCGTGTTCTGGGGGCCCGGCACGGAGCCGGCGAGCATTCCGAGGATGACCACGCAGCCCGCACGCCCTGCAGGGCTCGTCTCGGTTCCTCCGATTCGGTTCGATGCGATTCCGATGGATTCCGATGCCGACTCGAATTCGGCTTGGGACTCCGATCTGGACTCCGGCTTCTCAACGGAGGCCTACTGGTCTGCCCAATTCCGCCAATTCGACTTCTCCCCGCTCGGCTGCCGATTTCCGCCGATCCGATTAGTTTCGATCGCGGATCCGACTTTTCGATTCGATTCTGGGCTCTCCTGCGCCCCAAAGAGAGATCTCCCCCCTTCACCTTCCCCCCTCCCGCTCTCCCCCCCCTCCCTCCTCCTTCTACCCCCCCTCGCCTCCCTCCCCTTCCCCCCTCCCCTCCTCCCCCCTTGCAGCCCCCTTTCGTCTCCCCTGCATCACCCTCCCTTCTGCTCCTGCCTCGGCCCAGGCTCCCCGCTCGAGATCGGTCCCCAGACCCCTCCCGGGGTCCATCCTGGCCACAGCCGAACATGTATTCGTAAGACAACTCTGGGCCAAGTGTCCGCGTTAACGCTGGACGGGGCGAAAGTGTTCACGAAGTTAGGCCAGCTTCCTGGCAAATTGGTTAAGGAACGTTGGCCCAATTTTCTGGGAGGCGTCTTAATCAGCTGCTCGACTGTCCTTTTTCATCCCAGAGCGTTTGTTCTGCTGGTCCAGGGAGGACCCGTGACGGGTTCTTTGCTTTCCTCCCCCAAACCATCTTCCCCTTCGGGGGCCCCCTCCTGGGGTCAATCCTGGGTACTTTTTTTATCCCCGAGCGTTGTTCTGTTGGCCCAGGGAGAACCCGTGACGGGTTCATTCTTTCCTCCCGGGTGCCCAGGGGTGGTCAGATCGTCCCGAACGGCCGCTCGAGGAGGAGGAGGAGGAGGAGGAGGAGGAGGAGGAGGAGGAGGAGGAAGAGGAGAAGGGAGGATGAGGAGGAGAAGGAGAAGGGAGGATGAGGAGGAGAAGGAGGAGGAGGAGGAGGAGGAGGAGGAAGAGGAGGAGGAGGGAAGGAGGGAGGGAGGGAGGGAGGGAGGGAGGGAAGGAGGAGGAGTAGGAGGAGGAGGAGGACCCGTGACGGGTTGTTTCTGCCCTCCTCCAAAATCATCTTCCCCTGCGGGGCCCCCCGCCTCCCTGAGGCCTTTCTCCGGCCGCGGGCGGAGCGGCGATGGCGCCAGAGAGGGCTCCAAGAGGCCCCCAAAGAGGACCACTGCACGGCTCCAAGGTGCTCTCGCATCCCCCTTTCAGGCCTTTTTCGAGAGGCCAGCATCCTTCAGCCCTCACGCGATAATCATAGCTCTGTACCTTCTCGTCTTTTCGCAGCCGCTGTGGTCTTGAGGCCCCAGGATGGCCTCAACATGGCCCAAGAGAGCCCCAGGAGTCCCGCAAGACGGCCACACGAGCGCCCAAGAGCGCACCAAGAGGCGCTCCCAGAGCGTTCCTGGAGAGGGAGGGGAATCGGGGACCCCCCCTGTGGAGCGACGCCCTACAAGATAACCCCAAGAGTTGCTCCAGGGCTCCACGAAAACCCCCCAAGGGGCCCCCAGAGGGCCCCCAGGACACCCTAAACTTCCAGATGACCCCCAGAAAACTACAAGATAGCTCCAAGAATTCTCGTCATCGTTGTCCTCCTCCTCCTCCTCCGCCTCCTCCGCCTCCTCCTCCTCTTCGTTTCCCTCGTCCTCGTCATCGTCTTCGTCGTCGTTGTCCTCCTCCTCCTCCTCCTCCTCCTCCCCCTCCTCCTCCTCCTCCTCCTCCTCCTCCTCCTCCTCCTCCTCCTCCTCCTCCTCCTCATCCCCCGTCTCCTTGTCATGATCCTCCGCCTCCTTCTGCTCGCCCTCCTGCGCACCGTCCTTTTCCCGAGCCGTCTTCTTGCCCTGGTCGTCGTCTCCTCGTCCGCCTCCTCCTCGTCCTCCTTCCCCTCGCTGTCCCCAGGGTTCCCAAGAGATCTCCAAGAAGACTTCAAGAGGGTAGCACACCCGGCCAAACATGATGTTGCACTGAAGCGGCTGTTCCACTGCATGCTTCCACACTCCCCTGATCAGTGCAACTCGCTTGGCGGCCGCATCTGGATGGGCTGGCGAGAATACTTGTTGTTGGTCGCGGGCGGACGCGGAAGCGCAGTCGCCGAGTGGAAAGGTCCGGGCCACGGGCCTATCAAATTAGCATGCGCGAGCCTAAGAGCACAGCGGCCGAGCCCGGAATCAGAACCTACCGCCGGTGGGGCCGCAGGCTGAGGCTGAGCTGGCTGAGCTGACTGCAAACGGCCAGGGTAGCTGATGCACACATGCGAGTGAATTGGATCCTGCACGCCAGGAGAGGTCGTGACCTGTTCTGTACCAACAGACCACACGCTGGCGAGGATACTTTTTTGGTCGGCGGCTCCAAGGCAACGGTCAGGGAGCGAAAGCGGCGTCCGGGGTGCGGAACGGTGCGAATTTGCGAACAAACCGCCAAAACTGGCGAGGATACGCGAAGCGTCCACAATTTCGTTGAATACCTCCTTCCTCCCACTCCTCCCTCCCCCCCCCGTCCCCCTCGCTCGCCTCCTATCGCAAGCGGCTCCAGCTCATGGCGGGCGTCGCGGCGCTCCGCACCGGGGCCGTGGAGCCGGGTGCCACGCGAGCCAAAGTTCTACCCCCATATCTCTCTACTCCTCTCCTCCTCTTTCTCCTCCTCCTCCTCCTCCTCCTCCTCCTCCCTGCTGCATCCCTCTCATCTTCATGATTATCCTCCTCCTCCTCCTTCCTCCCTTCCGCTCCTGCTCCTCCTTCTCCTCCCTGCTCCCCCCTCCTCCCTCGCCCTGCTCCTCCACGCTCATCGTCCAGCTCTTCCCTCGTTGTCCTCCTCTTCCTCCTCCAAAGCCTTCTGCCTTTGGGCGCTCGCCGGCGGGCTGGCGAACGAAAAGCAATACATTATCAAACAGTACGCTACCGAAGAACCCCACATACCTACGCTGGGTCCTGCGTTGGGATTTCATCTTGCACCCTGCTTTGTTCGAACTTGCTATGGGCGCTCGTCTGCGGGCTGCGGCGAAGCGTCAGCCCATGAGAATGGCACCTTCGACATGCAGTCCTCGGTGGCGAAGCGAAGCTACCCACATCACAACTCCATCAACACATCGGCATCTACCTGCCTGCCACACTGTGCGAGCGCACGACGCATGGCGGCCCCCCCATCCCCTGCACAACCCCTCTGGCGCCCAGGAAATGCCACGCCTGCCACGCTTTGCGAACGCACAGCTGACATCGCCCCCCCCACCCCTTGCACATCACCTCTGGTGCCCAGCCACGCCTGCCACGCTATGCGAGCGTGCGACGGCAAGAAGCCGCACCCCCTTGCGCGCCGCCTGTGGCGACGAGGAAATATGCGCCGAGGAAGTGCCACGCCTGCCGCGTTGCGCGAGCGCGCGACGGATAGAGACCGCACCCATTGCGGACCCCCTCCGGTGTCTTTTTTCCTCGCACTCAGGAGGCGGTGCCCAGAGAAGAGGCCGGTCTCAAGAAAACATTTCCGCGGCGCGGCTCAGGGACAAAAAGCTCGGACCCCCTCTGGTTTCGAGGAAGTGCCACGCCCGCCGCGTGTTGCGAGCGTGCGATGGATAGGGGCCGCACCCCCTGCGGCCTCCTTTTGGTGCCACAGGCGCGCCACGCCTGCCGCGCGTCGCGAGCGAGCAAAGGCTAGAAGCCGCAACCCCTGCGCACCCCTTCCCGGCGACGAGGAACTGCGACACCTGCCGCGCTTTGTAAGCGTGCGGCGGATGAAGGCCCCACCCCCTGCGCATTCCCTCTGACTTCGAGAAAGTGCCACGCCTGCCACGCTTTGCGAATGTGCGACGAATAGCGACCGCACCCCGTGCGGCCTCCCTCTGGTGTCGAAGACGCGCCACGCCTGCCACGCCTTCAGAACGCGCGACGAAACGAGACCACGCCCAATGCACCCCACACCCCCCAGCGCACCCTCTCTGGCGTAGAGGAACTTGTCACGCCTGCCACGCTGTGCGAGCGCGCGACGGATGGAAACCGCACCCCCTGCGGCGGCCTCCCTCTGGTGTCGAGGAGGTGCCACGCCTGCCACGCGTTGCGAGCGTGCGACGGGGAAAACCGCGCGCCCCGCGCACCCCCTTTCTGGTGCCGAGGAACTGCCACGCTTGTCGCGCTTTGCGAGCGTGCGACGGATAGAGACCGCCCCCCCCCCGCGCACCCAGAGCGTACTCGTATGTCTCGTGTGCGCGTGCCTACTGCGCGCACGGGCGTGGAAGCATGCAGAGGGGGCGCGGGCGAGACGCGGGCGGGAAGGAAACAACAACCCCTCGAAACAGACGGGGAACAAGAGCCTGCGACGAGGTGGGCGAACGTGGGTGCGACGCGGGCGGCAACAAAAAACAAAAGCATGAAGCATGTTGGGAGCTTTGTTTTATGGGTTCCGTGGCTCTGCCCGCGACCCATCCCCCCGTTGGCGCGACGACGGCCGGGGCGCGCGCGAAGCCCGAGGCGCGGCGAGCGGCGTACCGGCGCAGTCGCGGGGGGCGGGCCCGGGCGCGTCACTGGCGGGCGCCTCCCTGGCGCGGCGGTGGCTGGAGCCCCTCGGACACGGCGGGCGGCGCCAGCGTCAGCGGCTCCGTGCCCAGACCTGCTGCGGCCGTGGCGCGGGGTTCCCGAGCCAGGTTCGCGTCGACCGCCGCCCCCGCCTCCGCGTCGAGGCCCGCGCGCAAGAAGGTGAGGATGGCCGCCGGCGGGAGCTCCGCCCGCGCCGTGCCGTGCGCGAGCTCGCGGGCCGCCTCTTCGGCCAGGCGGCGCCCCTCCAGTGGGCGGGGCCCGTCTCGGGAAATGAGCTCCCCGCGCAGCGCGCGCGCAGCTGGAGGGGCGGCCGCGCGCGCGGCGAGGCAGCCCGGCGTAGCTGCGCCCGCGCCCTGATGGCAGAGCATGGGGCTGCTGTGGCGGTCGTCGCTTGAATTGCCGTGCGTTCGCCCCGCGGCGGGCAGGCGGCCGCCTCGCGGGCGCGCCATCGCAGCTCGACCTCCCTACCAAGTGGGATCGACTGCAGGCTCGCGCGAACGCGCCGCGTCCTGTCCGCCCGGGCTGGCGCGCACGCGGGCTCCTGGAACCTCTTGAGGGACCATGCCGCGCACTGCGGGATGGCGTATTCCTCAAAGAGGGCGCGCAGCGACCGCGTCTATGAATGTGGGCTGTCTGAGCAGCGATGCGCGCGACCTGGCTGGGCTGGGCCCCTTGCGTGGTAGACTTGATCCTGGCAGCCAGTTCCGCCGCTGCTCTGCGGATCTGATTGGAGAGCTTCCGCGGGAAGCTGAGCGCTCAGAGGCGGGGCGCTGGGCGAGGGGGCGTCGATGTCCAGGGGGCGGCTGGCCCATCGGTCCAGGGCGGCATTTAGCGCGCCTGCGGCCAGGCTCTGGCGTCCAGCGCGCGGAGGGCCTCCGTCGTGGACGTCCAGGGCGGTGAGGGCGGCTCGGGCGGCCACCCAGCCCCGCGCTGCGGCGTGCTCGACGTGCTGCATGGGCGCCGTCATGCGCGCTGCTTCATCTATGCCGCACGCGCGCGCGCGCGTCGACGCGCTGCGCGCCGCCGTGCGGGGGGCGGGTCTGGAGACCCTCCGCCAGGCACTCCGTCATGCCCGGCCCGTGCCGGCTCTCTGCGCGGAAGCTGCCCGCCGCGGCCCGAAGCGCCCG